AAGAAAGGACAGACTTCATTATTTAAAATTCCTGCGGAAGCTCTGCCAAACTGCCTTACGACCCAGCATTTCCATTCTTGCATTATTTTTAGTTTTCTGTTTCGTTTTTATTTGTATCCAAACCAACCGTATAACAATTTCCAACATCAGGAAATTGTTGTACCTTTATTTGTTTCTAGACCTTCAGCACTCGTTTATTTTTAATTTCCGCCCACTCCAAGCTTTCCGGTCTGTGGAAGAAGGAGTCTGCTCGAATATTTGTTAACCAGGTTTTTCATTATATTGCAATTTAATTTAGTTATAATGTTTATTTATTTTTCTGCCATGAGTACGTTATTATTTAATTCTCTGTCTCTGTCTGGTTTAATATCGATGAGTAGCTAAACACCTTAGGGCGGTATGTAGTTATCACAAACTTAATCGGTAAATATAACCATAGGCTGAAAATAATTAATAACTTAACATTCTGGCTGATACTTTTTAATTGAAATAGATCTTTTTGTTACGAGAGTAAGAAAAGAGTATTAGGTTAGGTCAAGACCACGAGAGTGTGAGATTCTAACCAGATAGCTAAAGTTAGGCATTTAAATTGAACACAGCGAGAGCGCTTTAAGATAAATTAGAATTACTTAGTTTCCAAAAATTACCTCTAAACACTTATGGGCTAGCGAGAGCAGGCATAGGGCTTTAGGGATAAGATCTGATATAAGACCACGAGAGTGTGAGTTGAGGGTACTTAAACTGGTAATCTCTACCGAATAGATTAAGTGAACACCTTTATAAGCCTAGGTTAGATTGACCCCACCTAAGTTAGTATAATTACATACCGACCGCCTTAATATTACTTTATTTAAACTCAAATTTAATTCCGCCTTTAACAGTCTTAAAAACCAACAAAATCGTGACAATCATTCGCCTTAGCTAAACTAGAAGTTCATCTAGCACTAAGTAACCATAGAATCCCTGTGGATCGATAATCTTAAATATTACTTCGATAGGCTGTGCACTTGCAGTAAGATACCGCTAGACGCATAAGTAGACACGTCTTTAGCCCATCAATAGCAGCCATTTATAACTTAATAGTACACCAAATGGATGTTAAAACAACTTTTTTAAATGGTGACTTAGAAGAAGAAATCTATATGGAACAACCAGAGGGGTTTGTAATCCAAGGACAAGAAAGCAAGGTTTGTAAGTTAGATAAGTCTCTGTATGGACTAAACCAAGCCCCTAAACAATGGCATTAAAAGTTTGATAACTTAATGATAATTAATGGGTACAAAGTGAATGAAAGTGGCAAGTGCGTTTATTACAAATCTGAGAATCGCATTTGTACTATCATATGTCTATATGTAGACGATATACTTATATTTGGATCAAGCGTTCAGGCCATTAATGATATGAAATCATTGTTATGCAATAACTTTGATATGAAAGACCTCAGAGAAGCAAGCATGATCCTGGGTATCAAGATCACGAGATCCGACCAAGGAATTTCTTTGGATCAATCTCACTATATGGAGAAGATCTTAAAGAAATATAAATACTTTGATTGTAAACCTGCATGCACTCCGTATGATCCAAGTGTGAAACTGTTTAAGAACACTGGAGAAAGTGTCAAACAAGCAGAATATGCGAGCATCATTGGCAGTCTTAGATATGCCACTGATTGTACTAGACCCGACATTGCATATGTCGTAGGATTGTTGTGCAGATTTACAAGTAGGCCGAGTAACAAACATTGGCAAGCTATTGAGCGAGTAATGAGGTACCTTAAAAGGACTATGGACCTCGGCCTACACTATCAGGAATTTCCTGCTGTATTAGAAGGGTATAGTGATGAAGATTGGAACACCTTATCGGATGATTTCAAAGCTACTAGTGGTTATATATTTAGTATAGCCGGAGGAGCTGTATCTTGGAAATCAAAGAAACAAAACATTCTGGCAGAGTCCACAATGGAGTCTGAGATGATAGCATTAGCTTTAGCTAGTGAAGAAGCAAGTTGGTTAAGATGCTTGCTAGCTGAGATTCCTTTATGAGAAAAACCTATACCAGTTGTGTTGATCCACTGCGATAGTACCGCGACTATTGCAAAAGTTGAGAACCGTTATTATAGTGGTAAAAGACGTCAAATTAGAAGAAAACATAGCACTGTTAGAGATTGTATCTCTAAAGGAGCTGTGAGAGTGGATCATGTACGCACTGATGAGAACTTAGCAGATCCTTTGACGAAATGATTAGCTAGAGAGAAAGTCCATAATACTTCCAAAAAGATAGGACTAATGCCTATAAAGCAATTAGTTACTCATGATGGTAACCCGACCTAAATGACTGGAGATCCCAAGACTTAGGTTCAATGGGTAATAACAAGTTGTGAGTAATATGAAAATGATCATGCAAGTAAAGCATGAATCCTGAAGTGATGAGAGGATGAGATGATAGAAACTCTTAATGATATCTATACTATGTATGAGGGAGTACCTAGGCTACATGAGTACTCTTGATAAATTCACCTTTGTGACTATGGAACTGAGGCCGGTTCCTATGGAATTTCGAGGCAGAATTCCTAGAGCATTCACTAAACCAGGATACACGTGTAGGGTCACTAAAGCACGGGCTAAAAGAATACACCTTACGGAAAGGTTGTGTGCGGGTCTGATGTCCGAGATAGAGTTCAAGACAATGGTGTCACTCTTGTTGAATCAGAATCTTACTCGCTACGCTAAGGTTCAAGTCGTAGACACCTTTGCTTATGCTCAATCTTAGAAACGTCTGACTTACTTCTAAAATCTCTTTTAAATTCAAGTGGGGGAATGTTGGAATTTTATTAATTAGAGTGGGAATTGGAAAGATTTATTGACATTTAATGGGCAATAAATAAACACAAGTAAGAACTAATATAGAAGTGAATTTGAAAAGATTCATTTTAGTCCCACATTGAAGGGAATGGAAATATTAGTAGTGTTTATATATTCCAACTTGGTCAATTGGGTTGGGCCCTAAAGGGCACCCAATTTTGTGAAAGGAGTGAGGACACACCCATGACCATCAAGACACACGCGCGCGCCGCCGCCGTCCGGCCGGCCGGCTCGGCTCGGTTCGGTCCGATCTAGATGAATTATGTTTTGTACCCGAATTTATAGAATTTAATTATCATTAATTAATTAATATAATTCGGTGGAAAATTAATTAATAATAATATTAATTAATTAAGAAAATAATTGGTTAGTAACTGTCATACTGACTAGATCCAGTCCTCCACCATTTTCTCCATTCACCACGAATTTCTCCCTACTCAGGTGCAGGTAGCTGCCTATAAATACAGGGTAGAAATTCAGTAGTGAGCACTTCAGATTTCACAAGTTCACACGAATTTTGATTTCCATCTTCTCTCCCTTAATTCTCTTCATCTAAAATCTTCCTTTTCTTGTTTTTCCGACTGGTTATTTTCGCCAGATACCGTCGTCGCCAGATACCGTCGTCGTAAATCGTCTGCTTTGCATATTTTGGCAGTACGGCGAAACGTCTTAAAGAAAGCGACCTAGTACGCGACTCGTCCCGATAATTTCCTTGTGCCAAACTCAATTTTTCAAATCTGAAAACAACATCATACATATAGATAATTTAAAGTAAAAGTTACAATGTATTTAAAGTATAGTTTTTATAATTTTAATATATTTACCATTCCATGAATACTCGGTAAAAAAAAAGTAATTAATCATCTGTCACATAAAAATCACACCACAAACACAAATATCATGTCACAACAAGAAATTAGTGACGTGAACAAAGCACGTCGCATGAGAGCTCGTGACAACTAGTTGTCACACTGCACCCCATTTACATAAACTGTAAAGTAGGGGCAGTGTTGACTAGTTATCTACATGATAGTCATACCACAAACATGACATTAACGATATGAAAAACACACCACAAAACTGAATAGTATCATAATTTTGACATATTATTTTGACTGAAGCTTCTATTATTGTTGATTATAAGTGTGTATCTGATTCTATTTGCAGATCTGAGACCTAATATCAAATTTCTTTGGTTATCACGAAGGAAGTAGAAGATCTTGAAAAGGGTGGTATTGGTGTTATCCAAATTTCTTTTTGCCTCAGTCAACTTCTAAGAAGAAAAAAAGACTTTAAAATGATCAAAATTTGTAGTAGTGTTTGTGTACATATTTTGTAGTTGTGTTTGTGTATATCTTATGTCATTTTGGAACATGTTTAATGTTATTTTAGTTTAATGACTTTGATTTGAATCAAAGAATGTAACAAAATTCTAGTTTAATGCCATTAAATTTAAGATTATGTTGATATGAAATTCTGGTATGGTAAATAACAAATTATAGTCTGATAAAATGTTATGAAATTTTATTTTGATCACTTTACTCATAATTTGGTTATTGTTCAAGTCAGATCCCTTATTTTGGTCACGTTTATTAAATAAGGGACTTGAGAACTAATTAAGCCTATTTTATGATATCATTATTGTATTTCTGTGTGATATTTATTTTAAAACGGAATGAGTAATTTTTATCTGACCCAATTCTTATTGTTTTTTAAATGAATCATGATAAAACTTCTCTTTTCAATGATTCCAATTGTTCTACATAACGTGAAAGTGAAGCAAAAGTTTTTTCAAATATTAGGTATAGGTAGATAGAGAAAGATGAATCAAGCATTTAGCGCAATACCAAAAGCAAACACATCTCTCACTCTCAACAAAGTTGGTGAGCCACTACAAGTCCAACAAAGCATCCTCTCCCTTTCCTTCCAATTTTGACAAAATCCACCTAAGAAAAATTCGATATCTTTTGTTTTCAGTAACATTTGAGACTATGGCATCACACCAACCATATCATAGAAAAAGAAAAACAATCCTCAATTTAACAAACACATCATGAAATTAATTGCTTAAACTAAGCAACTTGTTCAAACTCATCACATTATTATTGTAAGTGTTTTTTTGTTTTGGAGTATACATTTTCAGTGCTCAAGTTTACTTCCTTTCACATCCACAACAAACCTATACCTCACATCATTCTTCTCCAATCTTTCAAAAGCTTTGTTAATGTAATCCATTGTCACAATTTCAATCATGGAGGTTAAACCCTTCTCTTTCCAAAACTCCAACATCTCCTCCGTCTCCTTCACACTTCCAACAAAGCTCCCGGTAATTGTCTTTCTCCCTACACAGCACAACATCAATACATCAGATATCATTAAAATAAAAACCATTTTAAATTTTCAGAGATCCTATATAAAATCGTGGCAATACATACATTAAAATAAAAACCGTCTTAAATTTTTAGAGATCCTTTACCTATAGATAAGTTAACCATGACACATATGCAACTAACCTTATTTAACCCCTAACTACATTACAACTACATCATTGCAATTTGACCTGCTATCGCAGGTGGATCAAAATCGAGTTAACAAAAATATAAATTGGGAAAGCAACACTTGAGTCGTACGTCGTATGGTAGAGACTTCTAATTTAATCACCTAAATGTAAATTCAATAAAATTATAAAGGGGTTTGATTTCCAATTCAATTACCCAAATTAAAATCAATAAAATTTTAAAGGTCGTTTTTCGAGTTTTTTCGAGTTTGTAAAAATTCGATAAAAATGTGTATACACAACACTGACCTATCGGATCTACCGTTCAATCTTTAATTACGATTCTATTGTTGTTTGACTATAAAGTACGGCAAACAAGCTGTAGTCTACTTTGCATACCATTGTCACCCGACTCAGATTAAAATTGTAATTGTGAGAAACGAAATGCATAAAGATAAATTTAAGGAAAAAGGAGGTTGTTTTTACCTAGCATGACCATAGGTGTAACAAATTGAAGAGGGGTGTTAATAACACCCATCAAGATCAATTTTCCATCAACTTTAAGCAATGCAAGATAAGGCTCAAGAGGGTGACCAACAGGAACAGTATCAATGATATAATCAAGTGAATCAGCAATTTCTTGCATGGCAGTAGTGTCTGAGCTGACAACATAATTGTCAGCTCCAAGATCCTCAATTGCTTCTTTCTTCTTCTTATCAGAAGAACTTATCACAGTCACATGATGACCCAATGCTTTTGCTACTTTCACCCCCATGTGTCCTACACCTCCCAGGCCCAATATTCCACCTCTAAGCCCACTTTGTTTCAGCCCAAAATGTGCAAGTGGACTGTACACTGTCACACCAGCACATAACAATGGTGCAGCTTGCTCTGGTGCCAATCCCTCTGGAATTTTCACAACAAACCTGACAATTATACCCCCATACACACAATCAGTTAAAAACATAAAAAAAAAATTAATTGAAAGTAATCACAAGTGTCTGTGTTAGTGCTACAGAGATTAGAGATTGCAATGAATCGAATTATTACTTCTGTTCGACGACAGTGGTTTCGGCGAAACCGCCCTGAGTGATTTTTCCGTCGGTATAAACATCATTGTAAGACCAGATCTTCTTGTTACAATATTGTTCAATATCGGAATCACAAGCCCTGCAGTTTTTGCAACAACCAACAAGAAGTCCAACTCCAACTATTTCTCCCACACTGAATTTGGTGACATTTGAACCCACCTCTAGTACCTCACCAACCACCTCATGCCTGTTTTTAAAAATAAAATCATTAATATTCGAGAAAATGAAATAATTGAAAGTAATCCGATACGTTTGTCCAACACCAAACACCAGATACGTCTTTGATCAGTGTAGACATATGTTTGTGTTGTACACTAGACACCAGACACTAGACACTAGACATGTCTCTGATCAGAGTAACCATATGTCAGTATCAAACACCAGACATCCACTGATCAGAGTAACCATATTTCAGTATCGAACACCAGACATCCAGACATACGACTGTATGGGACACTAGACAATATACACCAAACACATCTTTGATCAGAGACTATATCAGACCCTAGACACTATACACCAGACACATCTTTGATACTTTGATCGGAAGTGTAGCCTTATGTCTCTATCAGACACCAGACACATCTTTGATCGGAAATGTAACCATATGTTTGTATACAAACATATGGTTACATTTCCGATCAGGTGTCCGATCAAAGAAGGAAATTAACGTACCCGGGAACCATGGGATAATTGGACATGCCAAGATCATTTTTGATTTGGTGAAGATCAGAATGGCAAACTCCACAGTAATAAATTTTGATGTAAACATCATCTGGTCCTGTGTTTCTGCATGTTTTCAAAGCATAACAATATTAATAATAGTGACACATAAAATAAAAATCATGAGGTTTTCTTCACGGAATTGAGATTAACCTAAGAGTGTAAGTATAGGGAGTTAGAATTCCAGAAGGGTCAGTTGCAGCCAATCCAACTGTTGTTCTTTCAGCAACTTCAAGGCTACCCATTTTTGAGAAGAAAAAGATGAAAAAGTGAGAAAGAGAGAGGAAATAGTACAAAGTGTATGGAATGTGAATTTGGTTAGTGGAATGATAAGATGCGTATATATAAAGGTCTTGTATGTGGGTCTCTCGTCGCGGTAGGTGAGTTTAGCTGGAATTCTGTCGACGAGAATATTGCGAATTTTCTCTACCGTTGATCAAGAAAGTTTGTGAGGATAACCATTCATATTGTGGCATCTAATGGTTCAAAATCTCTGTATTCCCACAATGGGGACACACAATAGTTGTTGGACCGAAATCACTAGGATATATAAAAATTTTAACACACATTTAAAATTAGAATTATTTCCAATAAACTAATCCTATTTGTGTTATTATGTTGTCTCACCGTGATCAAATAATATAGATCATCCACTTTAGTTGATTGATCTTATCTTGATTAAATTAAAGATTTAGTGATTTATTTCTTTTTTAAAAAGATTTACCATTTATTATAACTTAAATAGTTATTTAAAGATGTTTTAGAAATGTTTATATTTTTATGAGGTTAAATGAGATGCATTGAGAGTGTAAAAAAATTTTATACTGTTATTCAATATGAAAATATAGTTTTGTCTTGTCACATAATTTTTTTAAAAATTACAGTTTAATTTAGTGGAATTCATATTCGTGATTGATTGACATTGTAAAACTGTTTTACTGTCGATGCATCACCTATTTTTTTACAAATTATGATATTTTTATAGAGAAAAGGGATGTCAAGGGATGGTACACTGACAATATAAATTATTTATATGATTTGACACTTTAAAATATTATGATTTGATTTATGTGTAATACTTTTTTACACTGATATTGCACTACCATTAAACTCATTTTTATATAATACTTAAAGAAAATTATTTTTAAAATTATTGAATAATCAATGTATTTAGATTAAATATATATATAATATATTAATTCTTCAATAAATTTAAAAAAAAAAGAAAATTTCTTTCTAATAAAAATCATAAAAAGTACTTTTTAATTAATAAAATAAAAAAGTGTAAACAAAACATAAAAAAAACTCAAATATTGTGTTTTTTAATTAAAATTTATTAAGAGGGGGTTGACTCAACACAACTCATATGTGTTAATTTAACTATATCGTACATAAATTTTATTTCTTTGTTTTACCCTTTTACATCATATTTTTGGTCGTCTCTTGTAATGTGAAGATTTTGTTTCACCTCCTTAGATGATAATTTGGATAAAAAAAAAATTATTTTTGCTGATGTGACCTATTTAGGTGTATTTTTCTAAATTACTTGTTTATTTTTTAATATCCATAGGGATTTTTTTAAATATTTTTTAATTATTTATTTTTTATTATATTTTTAATTTTAATTATTGGGGAGGTAAATCAAAAATCGCTCACATGAGTAAGGATGAATCAATATAAATCAATAAATCAAAAAACACATTTCTGCATCTTCATTTTCTTCTTCTAAGCTTCCTTCACCATTTCCATTGTGGCTTAGGATTAATGTTTCTCTCTCTCTTTTTATGCATCTCTTTATGTTTTTCATCTCGATTGGTTAATCTGTTATGTGGATTTCAATGTGATATCAATCTTTCAAATTTAGCTTAGTTGTAGGTGCGATTTTTTATTTCACTATGAACTTTTTGTTGTGTTAATTTGTTTTGCGTGTCTCTGATGAAAAAGAGTTTGATTCGAGTTTATATTTGTAAGTTATTATTTTTGAATCTTGTTACTAATAGTAATAATTCATTTTCACGAGTTGGGCTCGAATCCCACAAGTTAGGACGTCTGAGTCGGAGACTTTGAAGCAGACATTAAGAGACCTATGTATATCTAAGACATCATAAACGATTGCTACGAAAATGTTATCAAAGTCATGAGCTTCTCCAAGAATATTAGAGGTTGGACAAATATAAACATTGTACAATTCGGTCGCTGTTGATGCTTTTCAGAGCCAACAACAAGATATACAAAACTAAGAACTATCATTCAGTAATATGTTAGGATTTTGTTTTCCTTTTAGGTCAAGTTATATTATATGTTTAATTCACATAGTTGCTTATATATAGTTGTGTTTATTCTCATCAATCATAATTCTTCATGTATTTCTAGTTTAGTCAGTGCATTTGATAAGGTTTTGAATTTTGATATGCTTATAGATGAAACATGTTATTGCATTGCTGCACAATATGTGCATGAAATTTTTTAGTACTAGTTGTCAAGTTGCAAACTGCCATGAAGTATTTGTAATTAAATGATTTTTTCAGATATAATTTTGTGTTTTGTAAACTTTGTACTCTACATCAAAACACATTGAAAAATGAATTTGTATTCACCAAAGAATTTTGTTCATACAGATTTTACGTAGATGAAGTCCTTCTTGCTTTCGAGTACTTACACATGCTTGAAGTTGTTTACTATGATTTGAAACCAAAACATAATTGTTCGATGCTCATAGATTTTGACCTTTCACTCAGATGTGACGCTAGCTCAACACTTCTGAAATCACTTTCTGATAAAGATCTTACCCAACGCTTCTATAGATGCATGGATGCAAGATCAAATTCATTTGTTGATACTCATGAATACGTAACACTTGAGATCAACAAAGGAGAATGACACAAAGTTGTAGTTGATTGGCGGACATTTTAGTGTTTTTTATATGATCTTTTATATGGTAGAACACCCTTTAAAGGTTCTACTAACAAAAACATTAGTCATTGTCGTGTTACAAAAAAATTATTGATTTATATTGGTTTAGCCCTACAACCTGAATGACTTTTAATTTACTCCATCTCCCCCTTAATTAAGAAAGCTAAATATAAAATATAAAATATAAAATTGAAAAAAATCCACATAGACAAAATAAAAAAATAAAAAACCTAGACAAATCACGGCGTCACATAAAGAAAAGTAAAGAATTCTTGCCAAATTACATCTAAGGGACAAAACAAAAAATTCTTTACATTACAAAAGAGATCTAATTTTTATTTTATTTTTACATGGGCTAAATTAAAATTTACTTACATTACAAGAGAGTAAAGTATATTTATTCCTAAAAATTAAAAGAGTATTCAAATAACATGTCAAAAAAGATAATTAAATTTAAATGATTTAATTTGAGTCAATATAATATAAACTCTTAAAAAATAACTTTTTTAAAATAATAATCATAGAGTTCTAAAAATGAAAAAGGAGATAAACCATGAATCTCAAAAACAATTACAAGAAACTTTTTCGTTAAAAACTGTATAGAAAAATTTAGTAGAATAAAACTTGATTATAAAAAAGTGCAATGCTTACAAATCAAAATAAATTCATCTATAACTATATAAGAAAATGATAGGAAAGTTTGGACTAACCTCTTTTTTTTTTTTAATTACTCCTTAAATAGTTTCTTAATTTTTTTTTATAGAAACTACTTTATAAATGAATAGTTTTTCGACATTTCAAATAAAAAATTAAATAATAATAATTTTTTAATATGATTTTTCACAATTTATATAATATTTTTTTTCTTTTCTTATTTATAAAATTTATTAGACAAATAATTTAAATTAAAACTAAAACTAGACAAACAAATGGATATTAGAATATCCGTTTAGACCATAGTAAAATATAAAAAGGGTAATTCACATCTATTTTCAAATAAATTATGGCCAATACAATTTGATAAATTATACCACCAAAACTCTAGAAATTCAATGTGTTATATTTTGGTTAATACTCTCTCTCACTCGGAACACTTCTTCTTTATAAATTTATTAAATAATAGATTTATATTTTAGATTAAATATATTAATTATTTAATTAATATAAAAACTATATATTTTATTAAAAAAACTAGAGGGAATATCTACTAGAAAAAATGCAGTTAATTTATATAATCTATATTTAAAATTAAATATATTAATATTTAATTAATATAAAGAAAAATTGTATTTTATAAATAAGAAAAACTAGAGGGAATATCTACGAGGAAAAATGCAGTTAATTTATGTAATTTTAAAAGCAATTAGAGCATGACAAATAGTATCAAAAATATATAATTTTGAATTCTTCAATACAAGAATACATTATCCTTTACACAAACTTGTGGATAAGAGGACATTCTGCTTGATTTTGTTCAAAACAATAGTTGATTACTTTGAGCATTGTCAAATCAAATTTTATTCTTGTAAAGCTAAACTAAATATACCAACTAATGTTAGAAATCGATGATAGTAGTAGATCCTTAATTTGTTGGCCTTCAATTTATATTCATTATGGAAACAATAATATTATGCATTACATTAAGGTTCAAATAAGCACAATTGAAAATTGTATTGGTATATTTGTAAAGAGTACATGAGAGGTAACAAATGAGAGGCAACAAAAAGCTCTTTTGGTTATCTGTCTATTGGATCGATCGCTCATCTATTAAATGTGTCGCCATTTTATTAAATATGTCGCCTTCTTCTAAGAGGAGTTGCCCAAGGGAGGAAAATGGAGAAATGGTGTATATCTATTCTGCAACGATATCAAGGAGTCATTTGATCATGTTCTACACAATAATAGTGGACTAACTATCCACTCCCGCATCCTCTGAGTGATAGTTGCTATTTTCAAGGGACTTGGGATCCAAACTCAACAACGCTATAAATATCTTGTTCCGAGCCAACCATAATGGTCATCGACTGACCACTCATAAAGAGTTACAATTCATCTAGAACATTCACAACGTAGGAGAATCACCCTACAAAAGGATACATGTGATCAAATCCCCATATACATCAAATGGCTCCCGCATTACAATCCTAATAAATAACATGTAGTTAAAACATATTCATTATATAAAGAGAAAATGCGCTAGTTTCAGATACACAATTTCAATTTCAAATTTCATTCACTCTTCTCCTTCACATACTGACTTGAGCGTTTGAGTGCTAACCTTGTCGGTCAACCCTTCATCCACTGCATAGAAAACTCTGATCCATCATTATTC